TCTACAGATATGAAACTTGCAAACTCGATTGAAAACACTCCCTCAGTGTTTACATTTCAAACTCGTTTAACCGGAATGAGCACGTGTTCCCTAAGTGCAATAAACTTTCAAGAGCCTCATTCCTCACTCTTGGGTTACGCTGGATTTGAGAACCTTCAGTTGTTATAAAGCACTTTGTTTTTGCCATTGTTTTTCCACTGATTCGCTAGGTCGTTGGCGCAATGCTTCCCTTTTTTACTAACTATATGTCAGATTGATCCGAACTGCCTTAGAGCTAGATGGTCAACTCAGCAACATTCTTTGTAAGAGACTCGCGCCTGTTCAAAGCTTCTTTCGGTCTTTGCCACCATCACAACTTCCTGGGATATGGAAGTCATGCCTGTCATACCTATCCTTTCTAAGTTTGTTAGCATATTCTTCAGCATCGGGTTGTACCAACGGGTATTCATTCATTTCCTTGAACACTCTGACGAACCAATAGCTTCATACCATATTAACCGTGGCATCGATGTGGTTTAAATAATCATTCGTTTGTTTTGTGCTACATTTTATGTTCTTATCACGATCTTGTTGATTTATGTCATGACAGTAAATGTTGTTGTTCTTTCCGCAGATGCAGTATGAAAGAATGTTATGCAAGATGCCTATAAGGCTATAAGGAAACATTATTCATCACCGCTGAGACCGCTACAAAGGTTCAAATACGATGATTGACCTCGCATTGTGAGTTTTAATATCATATGTATGTTTCAACAGGCCCATGCAATAAACTGTTTCATCGAAAACTGTTACTTCTGCTGTACGTCAGTCAAGAGAATAGCTTTTTATGGCTAAGCTAAGCTCGGCTCGGATTGCACGGCAACAAAGGGTACGTCAAATGTACGCCATGTCGCATGATGAGTTCCAAGCAAACGATATGCTCTGTTTGTAACAACCAACAGCCTCCACTCCCAAGTCGGCTGCCAATACTGGTACTAGGACATGTTCAGTGTTATGAATGGCCACTGGGCATAAAAGGGAGGGAATCATAACGATACTGATGTTTTGAGACAGAACGACTGTGACAGCGAACATTCTGTATTCAATACGTGAAGTTTCTGACCAAGCAGTGATGAGGTTGCAACTAGCTAGTCCTTTCCTTTCCTTTAGAAGAGAGAGTTCCTCAGATCAATTCGAATCACGTGAGAATACTGGAAATTCAACCTCTCATCCATTCATTCGAATGCACGCAACGACCAAAGAATAAAGCATCATAAACGAAGACATGAGAGAATGTCGTCATCACAGTCGCCATGTTACCTGTGTAAGGGCTTGCAATGAATCTTGAAATTGTCAGTTAACCAAATGCAATCGGATCGCCTTTATCCTCTGGAGTGCACTAACCTAAAAGATTACAGACGAAGCGGTAAGAGGGGCCATTGTTCATATCACTTGTCAGAGAGTGAGTGATGAACATTCCTTACATATCGTTCACCCTCTGGACAAAGTGTGACATAACCGTTCACTTCAGTTCAGCGCGGAGTTTCACGTTTTCATTTTGAAAATGGCAATGAATCACTGCAAACCATCCTATCAAAATTTCACAACTGTGGTATTTCCCCCGTACATGAAACTGGGAAGGGGTAGGGGATAGGAACCGCTAGGCTTATGTTCCCAAAGCATATGCTGTATAGACGGTTGTGACTCGTGAATGGAAGAACGTCTCGGCAACTCAGTCCGTAGAGAGTCATGTTCTGATTAGAGAGGTTCAAGGCTTGACCATCGGTGATGTACTCACCGTTAATCCTTCCAAAGTGAAGAAACATGAGGT